TTAAAAAATCAAAACAATGATTTTGGAAGAAAATCCAGTACATTTGTGGTAAATAAAGGTCGACAGGATCGATCATGCTTCCAGTGTGGCGAAGTTGGTCATTTCAAGCGAGATTGCAAAAATGGCGCCAATCAAGCGTCGGGTAATGGCGGACAAACGACAAGCAGTAGAGGCTGGTGGAGAGAAACGCGAGGTCGACAAGAAGCCGGAAGAGGAAGCTACGTCAGAGGACGTGGCCACTCACGTGGACAGCGCGGAACGCATGGAACAAGTGCACAGCGGTTCAACCGACAAGGACAGAAGAACGAAGAGCGAAACAGTGCTTCTTGGCTTACAACAGTAGCTCTTGGTAAGGATATGTCAGTTATTGCACAAAATACTGAAATAGGTAATGTAAATAATTGTATTGAAATAAAATGGCTTTTAGATAGTGGTTGTACAGACCACATTATTAATGATGAAAAATTATTTGATAAATGTAAATTACTTAAAGATCCCATTAATGTTTATTTAGGAGATAATAGGGTTGTAAAAGCTACTAAAATTGGAAATGTTTTAAGTTACTTTGATGCTTTTGGTAAAAAGAGTTTAGTAGATATGCAAAATGTTTTCTATGTTAAAGATATGAAATCAAATTTGATAAGTTATAGCAAAATAACAGAAAATAATAAGATTATTTCTCTAGGTAATATTTCAAAAGTTTTTGATAAACTTGGTAATATAACAGCAGTTGCTTTAAAAAATAATGGCTTATATATTATGAAAAGTAAATTAAAATCAGTTGAATTGCATGTAAATGTTGCAAATAAAGATATGAATAATATGAATCAAAAGGAAAAATGGCATCGTTTATTAGGTCATGTAAATTTTAAATATTTGAATATTTTATCTAAAGATCAGCTGTTGAATGGAATTCCTAATGAGTTTGAATCTGAATTTATGAAATGTAAGATTTGTATTGAAAGTAAAATGCATAATATTCCGTTTGTAAACAGTAGAAAAAAAGCTAAAGATATTTTAGAGATTGTACATACTGATGTTTGTGGGCCTTTTCGAACTACTGGGTTTAAAGGTGAAAATTATTTTGTTTCTTTCATTGATGATTATAGTAAGATTTCTAAAGTATATGCTATAAAATCAAAAGCAGAAGTATGTGATTGTTTGAATGAATATACGAATGAAAGTGAAAATTTGACTGGAAAGAAAATAAAGATTTTAAGATGTGATAATGGGAAAGAATATTTGAACAGTAAAGTCTACAGATTTGCAAAAGAAAGGGGTATAGTAATTGATAATTGTCCTACATATGTACATGAATTGAATGGGACTGCAGAACGGTTTAATCGAACTATAATGGATATGTCAAGATGTTTGTTGGCTGAAGCAGATATTCATAAAAAATATTGGCCTGAAATAGTTTGTGCTGCGGTTTATTTGAAAAATCGTACTTTATCTGATACAATTGAAAAGAAAACTCCATATGAAATATTTTTTGGACAGAAACCTGATGTTTCTAATTTGCGTTTGTATGGAAGTAAAGTTTTTGTACGAAGACCAGAACAGAAGAGAATCTCTAAATGGGATAAGAAAGCTGATATGGGAATTTTAATTGGTTATAGTAATGTTGGTTATCGTGTATTATTAAATGGCAGAGTCATTGTTGCTAGACACGTGGATATTGTTGAAGAAAACGTTAAGTGTATAGGTTTAGACTTTAACGAATCAGATAATGATAATAATGAAGAGTGTTACCCTGATAAAATTGATGAAAGCTCTGAAAATGACTCAATAGATGAAACTTTTGAAAGTACAAATGAAAGTATGGATGATAGTGTGAATAAAAATGAACCTGAGTTACCTAGATCTCACAGAGCCAAAAATCCTCCAAAGAAATTTGATGACTACTATGTATATAATAGTAGTATTTTTGTAAATATGTGTAGAACTGATATACCACATACATTTGAGGAGGCGATAAATTCTAATGAAAGTAAGTATTGGAAAACAGCTATGGACAAAGAAATTGATAGTTTAAATAAAAGTAAAACTTGGAAATTGGTTAAAAATGATACAAACAAAAATATTCTGGATGTTAAATGGGTTTATACTAAAAAGTCTGATAATACTTATAAAGCTAGATTGGTTGTACGAGGTTTTCAACAAACTGATGAAATTGATGATATTTATTCACCTGTGGCTAAAATGCAAACATTAAAGATTTTATTGTCATATTGTTGTCAAATGGGCCTAGTAATTGAACAAATGGATGTTGAAACAGCCTTTTTAAATGGTAAAGTAATTTCTGAAGTTTATATTAAACAACCTAAGGGTTATGAAGATGGAACAAGTAAAGTTTGTAAATTAGTTAAAGCTTTATATGGTCTAAAAGAAAGTCCAAGGGCATGGTATGAGTGCCTAGATACATTTTTGATAAATTTAGGTTTTGAAAGAAGTAATATTGATCCTTGTTTGTACGTTTATAAAATTGGAAATGATATTATTTACTTATTAATTTATGTCGATGATTTATTGATTTGTGGTAGAAATTTAAATGAAATTAAAAGGATTAAAATTTTATTATCAGAAAAATTTAAAATGAAAGATATTGGTGAAATTAAAGAATATCTTGGTATTACTGTTGATTATGATTCTAGTAAACATGAAATGAGATTGGATCAAAATAAATATATTGAATTATTAAGGAAAAAATATAATTTAGAAAAAGGTAAACTGTATAATACACCTATGGAAGTAAATTTAAAAATTGATAAATCTGATCATTGTGAAAGAAATATTAAATATAAAAATTTAATTGGTGCACTATTATACATAAGTTCGGCAACAAGGCCTGATATAAGTTTCAGCGTAAATTATCTGAGTAGATTTCAAAATTGCTATAATGAAACGCACTTTAAATATGCTGTACGAATTTTGAAATATTTATGCTTAACTAAAGATTTAAAATTGTTTTATAACAGAAATGAAAAAGTAAGTATTATTGATTGTTATGTGGATGCCGATTGGGCAGGTGATCATTTAGATAGAAAGTCTACAACTGGTTTTGTAATAAGATTGTTTGGTAATGTAATTTATTGGAAATCTAGAAAACAAAAAAGCGTTACAAAAGCTTCAACTTTTGCAGAGTATGTAGCATTGTCAGAAGCAGTAAGTGAATTGATATTTGTAAAAGAATTGTTGAAAATATTTGATATTGAAATAATAAAGCCAATTGATGTTTATGAAGATAACACTGGTACAATTAGTATAGCTAATTATGGCAATTTTACAAAAAATTCTAAGCATGTTGAAATTCATTATCATTATGTAAATGATTATGTTAAAGCAAATGTTATAAATGTGGTTAAAGTAGATTCTGATGATAATATTGCAGATATTTTTACGAAGTCCTTGGGCCAAGATAAATTTGAAAAATTTCGAAGTATGTTAAATTTGAATTAATGTAAATACAATGTAAATGTAAGGAGGCGTGTTGAGAATGTAATACATTTATATTGTATACACAGATATATTGGTGTAAGAGTAAGCGGAACGCACCCATAGTGTCATGGGTTGACATGACAGACAATAATAGTAATGTCAATGAGTATCATGTAGTTGTAGGTGGTAGTAAGAAGTATGGTGGCTTAAGTTAGGTTAGTTAATTAGTATGTATGTTATAGGAAATAAAGCCTTTTATAATAGTAGTAAAGTACGACTATTTATTTTCCAAATCCACACCTTAACAGTTAATAATAAAATATATTCAATAAATATATTTTCAATAATACACTACGCCTATGCACAAATGAATAAAATCTGGAAGATATCATATTTCATCAACTTCAATAAACTAAGATATCATATTTGTCTAATTAACATTCTTTCTAAAAACGTAAATATATATAGACCAGCAAAATATTGATAATTTTACCGATGTTCCAAACTATTCTATGAACGTGTCTCACTATACACTCGTGAATCGCACCAATTTATATTGTTACAGGGGCAAATTTATCTTACATGGGTTACAAATTTACATATTTACATGGGCAAAGCATACACAATAAAAATGACCCCGGTAAGAATTTACTAATGAAATTTTTCATGGTTGCCGCTACCGTTTAGTTCAATTTGTACATTAGTCACCTTTAATTGAAAATTGTCCGACTATATACAATATTATCGTATAATGTCCATTTACTTGAGCTTCTTTACATTTATAATATCTTTGACTGCTACATATCTTTTTAAGGTAACACATGTAACACCTTTTCCATGCTTGTGTGGTTTTTTTTCATATTGTTCTATTTAGATGAACATGATGCTTTCTGAATACGAAAGCGATACGTCTTCAATAAATAAATAAAGTAGCCATCAACTTTGTCTTTTTTCTCCACCTTTTGACCGATATATATATATAATTATATATATATATATATATATATATATATATATATATATATAATATATATAAGAACCCACCACTTGTCTGAGTGATCCTTAATTTATATTGGATTGACGGTTGTACTCCTTTTCTCCGATATATGTATATATATATATATATATATATATATATATATATATATATATATATATATATATCCGGTATTTAGGCGGCACACGCCCTTCCGATAGGGATCTATGGAGGAGTATCACCGAGCCGCAAGCCCTTATCTCTTGCCGTACTGCTCCACCATAGGCCGATCAGACACCAGCATATTCTAGTCTAAGCCGCAGATTCATTTTAGAATTTTAAACTGCTGCGTTAGCCTTTTTGTTTTCTGTACACCGAGCTGGGGATCGAACTCATATCCGCTGAACCACTAGCAGTGAAGCAAGTGAGAATCCGGCCGCCCAGCCCGCTTGGCTATCTGACCGACATGACAAAACGTGTAGCTTATAATGTGTTATTCATTTATGTTTATTTTTTATTAATTTTAGAGCACAAATGTATTTACATTTCATTGTTTAATAAATAATATTAGATTATCTATTTAATAATTTATTAAACAATTAATCTTTAAAGTGGTTATGTACAACTATCTAGTAAAATATTCGATCAATATCTTACAAAAGTAAAATAACAGTCTGTGTAACAGTAAATAATATCACCAATCATCTTGTCCCAATCTAAATGTATTATTATCACTTTTAACAACCTCAACCCTTGGTCCATAATATGGCATTACATAATAGGATCCATCTGCAGGTGTAACGGTTTGGGTTGAAATCAATATTATGTCTACTAACTGCCCTAGAAACATAAAACCTAAGGTACAAAATTTGGCAAGTCCTATAGCTGGATATCCCAAATAAAATCTGTCTATTCCAAACATACCCAGGAATATGGATAGCAGTAGAGTAGTTTCAAAGGAATACCCATTCCTAAAAATTATGAAAATTCTAATTAAAATAATAAAAGATAAATTGGCGTAAGTCAGAATATTTATTTATTTATTTTCAATGGGATGCTGCCCAATAAGATTAACAATGTTTACAATAGTTATATTCCAATATACTTATTTAACAGAAATGTTCAATGTATAGCTATCTAAAAAAATTTCAATGTAGGTATATGTGTGCTAATTAAAAACACAATAAAACAAAATAAAATATGAACATCACAAACTTAATCACGTAATTTAGTTTTACATATCAAAATGATGACTACCTATTCCACAGCCACTCAAATAAACACATGGCTCAGGCCACAAATAAATCCAGACAAAAAATTCTAGATCTGGGTGAATATTTGCCCATTTTAGTGCTCGAGATAAAAAATTATTATATGCATAGTTGGTTTTGTGAAAAATCTTTAATTAATCGTCGGTCATACAATGAGATAATACCAAGTTGGGTTTCAATTTGATCATAATTTACTTGATTTAATTGAAAATATACCCTGTTCATATGCTACATATTGCAAGACTTGTGTTAACCTGTCTCAATTTTTGATATGTAAATATTATAAGATGGAAACCATACACAAGAACAATACTCTAGATGAGGTCTAACTAAAGAACAATATAGTAATTTCATTGCTTCATTATTCTGAAAGTCTCTAGTGCATCTTTTTATAAAGCCAAGCATTCGTAATTTTATTATTTACATAAATTGCGATTCAAATAAAAGTATAAAGTCTAAATTAATTCCCAGATTACGAATTTCGGTAACCCAGTCAACAAGAATGTTCTATATAAGTATTATAATTATATTCCATTGGGTCTCTCGATCGTCCAAAAGAAACAGCGTAATACTTGGCTGCGTTCAGGGCCAGTTGACCACTAATTCAACCGATCAAGATTGTGTTGAAGATTAACACAATCTTCTGTATTATTGATAATTGTGTAGAAATTTAGATCATCCGCAAAAAGAAGAGGTGAACTGTGCTGGAAGCAGTGGTGTATATCATTGATGAATATGTTAAATAACAGGGGCACAGGGGCACCAAATGAGAACCCTGGGGTACTCACTGAATGAACCTTAATCTCACTGGAAACAAAATCACTGATATGCACCATCTGAACTCAGTCAATCAGTATGTTCTCAACCATCCACGAAGTGGATCCGAAAATCCAACGTTCGTCTACTAGCTGTTTTTCAAGTGAAGCTTTAAGATAGTTATATAAAAAACATTCAAATATCTTTGGTATTACACTAATTATACTAATGGGCCTGTAATTATTCACCAATTAATTATCTCCTGCTTTAAAAATAGGTGTTAAAAAACTATTTTTCCAGCATTCTGGAAATTCACCCTTATTTAAGGATAGATTAAAAATGTGAAAAAGGTCTGGATAATGTAAAACAAGAGTTCTTGAAAAAGCTGGGAGTGAGAGGCAATCCATCAGGACCAGGACCCTTATTCGCATCCGGTTCTGATAATTTTAAATAAATACCAGATATAGTTATGTTGAAACCAGTCAAGTTAGTAAAACCAAGTGAAAGTGAGTCACTGGGTTTGACACATATTTGAGTGGAATAGACTGTAAAAAATATTCTGAAAAAAGATTTTCAATATCTGGTCCGTGGCTGGATTTAACACCACCCTACCTCAGCACAGCGGACAAGAAGGGCTTTCCCCTCTGTAAATTCACAAATGACCAAAATCTCTTTAAATTATTTCCAAATGATAACTCTGTTAAATAAATATGATATCTGTAGCCTTCAGCTTTTAACAATTTACAGTTGGTCCTTAGCTGAGAAAAATATCCTCAGATAATCCACAAGTGATTTAGAAGAGACATTATTTGTGATATTTCTTTTTCTCAACTATCAGGTTCTTCAGCTCTGAAGAAAACCAAGAAGGGAACTTACATTTTGAAAACCTTTTTAGAGGGATAAATAATTCTAGTAATTATTCTATATAAAAATCAGTTATTTTCACATAGTCAGCTGCTTTAAAGTTCCTATAGAAACAATCACTAACCAAAGCACTATCATTAGAGCACCTTGTGATTATCTTTGTCTCACTCACCCACCACCCACTCTATTCCAAGAGTGGGTGGTGCATACCCTCCCTCAAAAGAGATTCATTTGGCCTGAATACCAGTTGCATTCACAATAGTGCTGGACTGAAACAAATTGTGGTATGCACCCATACCAGTCACAACCTGCAGAGTTTCAACTTCAGATACTGTGGCAGCTGGTAAAGGAATTGTTGTCTTCTTCTTCTTAGCCTTCTGTCGTCCATGTTTGGACATAGGCCTCTCCCAACTCCTTCGATCGGTCTCTATCCTGGGCAACATATTTCCAATTTGTTCCGGCTATTCTTTTAATGTCATCAACCCATCTCATCTGTGGTCTTCCTCTTTGTCTTTCTGTCTAGCAGTGTGGCCCGCAAAGCTCCATTTAAGTTTGTCAATTTTTGTTGTTATGTCCTCGACTTTTGTTTTGGATCTTACCCAGTCGTTCCTCTTTTTATCTGATAGTTGTATACCTAACATTGCTCTTTCCATTGTTCTTTTTGTTGTGGCTAGTTTATTCATGTTTGCCTTGGTTAGGGTCCAGGTTTGACATCCATATGTCATGATAGGAAGGATGCATTGGTTGAACACTTTGCTCCTCAAGTATTGGGGTATTTTGCGGTTCTTAAGTATCTAAATTAAGTTTTCCAAATCCTGCCCATGCTAGTCTTGCTCTTCTAGTAATTTCCGCACTTTAGTTCTTTTTGTCAAGTCTCAGGATTTGACCGGGAGCTGGCTGCTAGTTCCCCCAACATAATTTGCAGTTCCTTGAATGTGCTCGCTATAATCACTATGTCGTCAGCGAATCTGAGGTGGTTTAACTTGTTCCCATTAACGTTAATGCCATAGGTTGACCAATTTGTAGTTTTGAAGACGTCTTCTGGGCTAGGTTGAAAAGCTTTGGCGAAATTACTTCTCCCTGTCTCACTCCTCTCTTAATGGGGATGGGATTTGTATTTTCGTCTAGTTGTACTATCATAGTTGCATTTTCATATATATTATGTATTAGTTGCCTATATCTCGAATCTGGAATTGTTGTTGCATATAACATTTGAAAACCATATAAGTTTGGTAAATTGAAATCAGCAGCCAGATAATAGTGTGCAGAAGGATAATGTTTAGCTTTTTGTACTAAGGTTTCACAAAATATGGAATATTTGTCAAATACAGACTTTGGTGAAAAATATGCTGTTCCTATAATAAACTGATTTGCACCTTCAGTCACCAAGACAAAAAGTTGTTAGATTGTCTAGTTAACTGTTACAGATCTACTGCTTAAGCTCGTATGAACTGCAATAAGGACTCCACCACCTCTTGAGAATGAACTTGTTTCTCTGGAGCGATCAGTTCAATATATTCATAAATAAACTGTTGAGCTTAGTTCTTAGACCTCCTACACTTTTAAAATAAACCCCCAGTTGAGGTGAAGACTGTGTTAGTTTTTTGACATTTATTTTAGTAGTACCATTTAAGTATTTGATAAATAAGTTGTGTTCGCCTTTTCTCTCTCTTTCCTTAAGTTCATCCTTAATAGTGTTTAATGCAGTTCTCTGGTATGGGGAGATATCTGAATCGATAAAAGTCTTTAACCGTTCAGCGCTCGCGCCCATATTTTTTACATCATAGCGCGCGTGTCATATTTTTTTATGTATTTTGAATAAATGTGAGTTATCTGATATTTCTTGAATGTAAATTATAAAAACATAAATATATTACAAATAATAATAAATAAACATATTTATTTGCAAAATTTACAAATTAAAACAGAAATTACACTTTTACTTTTTAGTCTAGGTAAACAAATAAATCAATATACAGTTAAAAACTATCATCCTGATTGTTTGTATTACAGGAGTTACACAGAATTGTAGTAAGTGAATGTTTTTTGCAAGTAAAAGAATTGCATTTAACGCATTTCATGGATGCCGTTGTCCTTTTTCTTTCCGCGTTACAAGAACGACAAACTCCACGTTTTGAAAGACAAACTGTTTCCTCGTGTTCATTTACAGTTTGTCCATATCTAACTTTTAGAAATGCGCCGACATCTGAGGGTAAATTGGTTAGCTGAACTCTTGAAACAAGGTGCTCTTTCATTAGACTCAGCGACAAATTTTTCAAAAAAATTCTTCGATCTTTTGGGCAATTATCAGGACACGAAAATCCATATAAAACTTGCGCATTTATTCTACTTATGTTCAATAAACTGTAAAATATAACACAAGGCCATCTCCTGGAAATGCGAGAAGCTGAATATGTTGCACACATTTTGTCCACTGTATCAACACCCCCCTTAGTTGCATTATAGTCCATAATTACTTGTGGTTTTTGAGTGTCTGGATGTATTTCGTCGTTATCGTGTAAAGTTAAAAGCAGAATTACAGTTTTGTTTTTGCGAGGCACAAAAGACACAAGCATCATGTCTTTTTGGAATCCAAAAAGACAACTTTTAGTAACTTTTTCCTTGTTAGGTAAAAATTCTGCAGGAATTTCTGCCTTATTTTTTTTTCAAAGTTCCAACTAACGTGATATTTTTTTGCAGTAAATAATTAGCAAGTGGAATACCAGTATAGTAGTTGTCGGTAGTAAGATTTCGATTGCTATTTTCTATCTAAGAAACAAGTCTCTTTACAATGTCATTTGGTGAGTTGGATGTAACGTACGGACCATCGGGCTGTTTGCCGCAATATATTTCTAAATTTGAAGTATAGCATGTCTTTGTATCACATAAAGCGTACATTTTGATGCCGTATTTTGCTGGTTTGCTTGGCATGTATTGCACCCAACTGCAACGACCTCGAAAAGGGTGAAGCATTTCGTCTATTGTAACGTATGCACCAAGTTTAAAGGATGTTTGAATATTGGTCACAAATGCATCAAAAAAGTCACGAATTGCAGCCAATTTGTCAATTTTGCGGCGCTCAAATCTGGTTGTGCGATCATCAAATCTCAAGCAATTTGTTATAAACAAAAATCGTTTGTAACTCATAACAGCCCTTGTTATCTCAATTCCTGTTCCGTCGATTGCCCAAATTTCTCTGACATTTGCAAAATGCGATTTTTTTATCCCAATCAAAATCAGCAACCCTAAATACGCCATAAACTCGTTTCTGTTTATATCCTTGCAGTCTCGTTCTCTAGAATATACTTGATGTGTTCTTATTTCAGCAATATATTTATTAGTGCAGCATATAATATTGTCGATCATGTCAATGTCTATTATTTTCAAAAAGGCTTCTTGCTCATTATTGATATTTCGGGCTCTATGAGTGACACCAGGCTGCTCTTTTACAATGTTAATTTTTTTTATCTTCGATGAAGTTGCCATTTTCATTTTGTACCATTTGGTAGTTTTATCTTTTGCTACATAATAGTCAGAAAATGAAGCTGTTACGGATTCATCATTGGATAATCCCTCTTCAAAGCAACTGTCTACATCTTCTTCTTCTATATACTCCTCAGACAAATCACTATCACTAGACACAGCGTGATCTGACTCGTTTTCGTTTTCATCCCATAAATGCTCAGCTAAATAAGCAATCTCCTCTGTTGACAAAGGATGTTTAGACATTTTCTTGGTTTATCTGAAAAAAAAAACAAAATTCAATATCAATATTATTATTATTATTAATAAAATTGTTTTATTAATAAAATAAAATTGTTTAAGATCATAATACTTACATAAATAAAAATAATTACTCCAAAACTCGCGTGCTATAAAATTTATGATGACTGTTCCTCTTCATTCAAATATCTAACAACAACTAAATTCAGTATCCAACCAACCAAATTTACCTGCCACATTGTACCTAAGGGGTCATTTCAAGAATAGATAAGTGTTAGGCAGCAACTAAATTTAGAATAACAGTGGCATACACTATTTTGTTAAATTGTCATAAAATTTATGTAGGCACGCGCGCTGAAAGGTTAATGACTTGTCAACATTTCTTCTGTTTCTGAGTATTGACAGATAGTTCTGATGGTTATGAAGGATAATTATGTATGAACTGTATCCATTTTTGTTCTTTTTTCCAATTCGTTCAGCTTTAACAATATCAATGCCTGAGTTCATTAATCCAGATAAGACAGATCCAGATATGACTATGACTATTACAAATCATAATGTTCATTCTCGATAATTTCACTAAATTCCAAGGGACCAGTTGTTTGAGGCACTCTTATATCTTTCAAATTGGATATTTCAGATTGAAGTTCATTACAGCTTGCCTAAAAGAACCATTCAATAAGTCCAGCTCACTTCGAAGAGACTTTATTTGTTCTATCATGTCCATGGCTTGTTTAGTAGTGTCCTTTATGCATGCAACTCCACTCTCCAAAACATCTACTTGTGCTGAACCTAACCAAATTCTTAATTTTGGTAGTAAAATCCTTGCACACATATGGTATTACTTTACTTGGCATCACTATTGCTCTGATTTATGTAGCATTTACATTGGAACAATTTCTAAACAATACCAACTTGCAATATTCGTAAGGAAAACCAAAGTCATCAGTGGAAGATGCTTCCTTAAAAATGCATGATCTATTGCATCTACCAAATGTGCCTGACATTATAGCTTAGGATTAGAATTTTAAAACTGCACAATAACAAGAAATAATGTTGTAATCGCATAGTTAACTTCAACTGTATGAAATATTGTAAATATTTCGTTTCAAATATAGTTTACAGTTTTTTTAATTTATAATTCTTCTTGAATGTATGAATATAAGCAGTTTAAATTAATTCTGAATATTTCAATTATTTTACACTATCATCAATGTTACTACAGCCCTATATTAAAACTGCAATCTTCTTGAGTTTATTTCTCCAGTCAGCACTATCCATTGCCAAATATTGCCAGTTTATTACCTTTGTCTACACCACCCTTTCATAAGTTTTGGCCTACCTCTCTGTCTACTTCATTCTCTAAACAATAAAGTGACTAAAAGTTATTATACAACCAAGTACATGTTCTCATAGCCAATAATAATTATTGTAACTTAAAGTAAAAAAATCTTCACATGTAGTTTATAAGTTTTAATTTTAGTTTTTCCCACTCAGTCACAATATAACACTACTGGTATTGGAAGCTCCTGATTTAAAGTGTTTTTTATATAGTAGCTGAAAACTACAAGAAGCTATGGCTTCTTCTGATACAAGAATTCTGGGTTATTAGCTAAACCTATGATGCCACTAAAACTGCAATTTACAGGAATAAAACCAAAATGATCATCATTTAGAAGTACTAGGAATAAACAAATAGCAGTAGGTAGTATAAACTAGACTTGTGTCAGTTTGAAAACCTACCAAATTCATTTGTTCATTTTAGGAGATCATCTTTCTATAAGTGTAAATACGGTATTGGAGTTTCCTGTGTCAGTGATAGTAATAAGTATACAGTATATATCTGCTACAGTTTAAAAATACAACTCAATACTTACGTCCATTTGCATGGCATTTCCTTATAAAATGTATTATTACCACTTTCAGTGCATATTAATCCATTGGCAGTAATACATCTTACTGAAAAATATTTATTTTTGTTACTCTAAATACTCTAAACTGTTTTAAATAAAAAAAATAAATAAATCCTGAGCAAATTACTAATAGATTAGAACAGGAATCAATCTGATTAAAAAAAAACTAAACTGGAGAGGCATATTATTATTAACAGACTTAAAATAGAAGACTGAAATAAAGGCAAGATACATATATTAAAGAAATGCAATTATATTACAGCAACATGTTTAAGTATAGAAAAAGAAAAAGTGGAGTTATCAAGAAGGGAACAAGTACAGATAATGTGAAGTAAAGAACAAGTTGAGGAAGAACAGATTGAAGATGGAAAACAGTGAATAAGATATAATAGATAAAAACTGATTACAAAAGGGAGACGTGAACTGAAGTTTGGACCTAATGAAAAATTAATTAAAATGACCTTACATACAATATTACAACTGTTCCTAAATTAGATATGTAAGTTACCTTTAGCTTTATTTTCTTTAGTACACCCTTTAAGTTGTTGTGTTTTTGGATCAACCATTTCATCTAAATAGGAAGGGTCTGGACAAAGGTATTGCCCCATTCGCAATGCACTGCAGTCTATTTCAAACGGTGGATTTTCACAAAACACATTTTTTATGAAAAATAAATGAATGAAAATACAAATAAGAATTTGTGAGTTCATTTTAATTACATTTTAAATATTTCTAATATTTTTTATTTACATCAACATCAAAACATAACCAAGTTCTTCGATGTAGTTCTTCTTTTTTACGATGTTCGTCTAGATATTTAATAAAAAAGAAGAGGTTGAATCGTTACGTTAACCTTAAATTTGACGTCCCTTTTGACATAAGAATAAAATGAACAAAAATAGATTATTTTGTATTTTTGTAGTATATTCAAATTTTTTTGAGCTGTAAGGAGCGCAGCTAATGATTCTTTTTGTTTTATAAAACGAATGAATATAGATTTGCAGCTTATTCATAAATATGTAAGCTGTAAATGCAAATTTATAAAACGGTGTTATGGCTTTTTGTTTTTATGTGAATAGAACAGCCTATAGAGTTTTGGGTAGAAATGTTTATACAAATCTGATATTGAATATCAGAAATAATAATGATTGGAAAATGTTATCTTTAGAATTAGATACTATAGATGATTTTACAACACAACTAATGCAGAAAAAAGTGGACAAATGGAGCTCCAAAAAACCCATTCAAAATGTGTCATATGGTCTTAAATATATTGATAATCATATTAGCAAAGAATATTCATGTTTAGACATAACAAAAATAAACGAATTATTTCAAGAAGCCATTGAAAAAAATGATGCCTCCTCAGTTTTAGAATTGATAAACCAATGTATAACTCATGGATTGTGTCCGGCTTTGTCAAATTTACTCTACACATTATCTGGTAAGTTAGTTGATACAAACGAATTTTACTACATATTATGTGCTAAGTTAGTTGATACTTAAATGAATTTTACAGGCCTGAAACTTAGTAGGTATTGCCTCAGACTTTCTTGATGTTTTTCATAATACAATAATATCTGTAGTGTATTGGTAACTGCAACTAGGCCTCAGGTGGAAATATGTTATAAATTTCCTATACCGTTTTATAATATCATTTTTGATTTATCATTAATATTGAAGTTATTTTTTGGTGTACTAAATGAACACTTTAAATATTCTTTATATTTTATAATTTTCTTTAGTATAGTTTATGATTTAGTTTCTGAAGCATCTAGTTCTGTGTACTGTTATGTGTGTTAGTGAAATAACAGCATAAGTGAAATAATGAATTTGGGCAATAGAGATAAAGTTATATAATATACATCATATAATATACATATATTATATATACGTATAATAAATAGGAGACATATATAGTTAGATATGAACATATTATGTTTATATCTAACTATTTTATGTCTCCTATTTATATCTGTCTCTTGACATTTTCCATAGTGTAGCTTCTATAATAATTATTTAAAACTATCTGGTGTCTGTTATTTATATAATTGTATGTGAATGTTTATGACATACTTGGATGTGCTGAATAGTTTAACGTTTTGTGATGGAATGTCTCAGAATATGCTCTGAGAGCAAACATACTTGGGCAAGATTTAATAAAGAACCCTGCTTGATATCTGTCTTTTATTTGCAAAACTCATCAATTTGAGCATTCAATCATATCTTATTTATATCTAACTAATCATACATGGTTGCAGTATTATGCATATTTGAGATTTCAACCGTAGGTAGGTTGTATGATGCTTTAACCTTTTGACAGGTTTGGCTTTATATGAGACTGTTATGTTTTGTCATTGAACTTATACTTATAATGGAAGATTCAACCAAGTGTGGATGCTTTAGACTTGTGAAAAAATATTAGTGATCTACTTTAAAATATCAGTGATCTACAGATTTAAGAATCATATCACTGGAATATATGCACACACAACAATTGCCTGTGGTTATATAAAATACTATCATTATTGTTTCAACTAACATATGATTCAATCATCATTGTATAAATAAGAGAGTTACATTGTTGAACTAAATAATAACATAAAGAAAAATACTATAAAAAAAGTAAAATATATCAAAAACTCATTCTCAATGGCTTATCTATATTTATCAATTTTTAGTAGCTTCCATTATAAACACATTCGTTGGGAAATAAAGGTTATTATAAAGTCATTACTTATTCAAGTAATTCAGTGTTGAAATCATTCAACACTGCATTCTAACTGTGGCTTCAACTATAGTTCTGCTATTCCAGAAAGGTTGCTTTCTTGCTTGAGCTAGGCTGTGGAAGAGTGATATACCAGGTTATTATCCAATAATTTAGACAAGATAATATTTTTGAGTACCAATTACGATTTAGGTTTGTGGTTTTAATAATAAAAGTTTTTTTAGAGATTCCTCTTTTATTGTTCTCAAGTCTGGATTGGTTTGCCAGTTCACCAGCCAGCAGTCTGAAAATTTAGGCTAAATTTTTTTTTGAACTTTTACCCAAAAATAATGCAACTACACCTCTCATAAAAAAATGTTTTAATTTGCCCCTGATTTCGCCATTTGATTGATTCATTGGTGACAAGATCAATTCAATATGGTGTTTTTGCAAATTAAAACTTGGTAGCAGGTAACATAATTAAAGGTCAGCACACATAGCTCAAATATGGCACCCAGTGTTTTGTGTTAATAGCTTATATGTGACATGCGCCCTCAAGACAATTTTTACGATTCAGGCACTGTATCAATATCTGCTGATTCTGTTATAATATAAGAATGTTTTATCCCACAATTGGCCCAAACTATACAGATGCAGTATACAATTTTCTACTCTTGATATCTTCATTATGCATGTATGAGTGAGTACAACGAATTGCAACCTTACACTTTAGTTTTTGGGGTAAAATATTGAGCTCCAACTACTATATAGCAAAAACTGCAGACCGAACAAATGGCAACCAAATCCTAACAATATTTTTCTCGTATTCTGCTTGTTGTGCTTAGGTCTATGATACAAAAATAGTCTAGAATTCTTATTGGATCACTTGACTTGTATTTGCAAGGCACCCACCTGGTTTGAAAGTGCTACAGAAAGTTGCATACTATAATTTTATCTTTCTTTTATACATTATTATTATTCTGAATCTATTTTCATGTAGCATTTTAATTAAATTTACTATTTTAATTGGGAATAAGCCACAATTTCACTTTAAAATAAGTTTATTTGACATTTCAATTTCCATTTCAGAAATCATTCTCAAAATCCAAAACATAAATAAATTATACAGATTTTGTGTTTTTTTTGTTACTTGGTGAAAAATTCTTCTAACAATTTTATTTTTATATGACTTACTCATATTGACAATTTAGACATATATTAGACATTTTAAAGTAGATGACTTTAAAATGGCATTATCAATAGTATTGAGTTGCAATCTTGGGACAACTTGCCACAACAACCACATGCAATGATGACAATAACATTCTACTGTTAGTGATCTCATAGTAAATCATGAGAAAAAAACCTCATGATACTATCTTGACATGGTAAGTATTATATTTAGTCTTATATTTATTTTGCTCTCAATATTAACACCAAACCCTGATTTTATATGTGTGTTATTTTAAAATAGATATCGAGGATACATCATTTACGTTTTAATTAAGGTTCTCGGTCCAGTAACGAGCCAAGTCTATTGCATCATAGCTAACCAATCATAGATCGCGATTTGCAATAAAATTACTAATGAGAGAATTTTACTGTCATGATTGAGTGTCTTTTGGTATTCTTGAGTTAATATAAATGAGGGGGATAAAATTAAATTATCAGAAGACATTTTTTTTCTATCAAGTAACAAAACAAAATATATATGTAAAATAAAACTTCCAGGTAACCTTTTTGTAGCCTAGATGTATGTAAAGGTACCACTCCGCAACAAGCGACCAAGGCAGGAGACAGAGACAGGCGACATATAGGCGAGACTGATTGTGGTATCAAAGAATATAGACGCTTAGAATATAGAAGCGTCTATATTCTTTGGTGGTATCTTCGGTCGCTGCGCGACATTTCTGTTTAAGCATTTGTACATGATATCTTATTAAAAATAATAACCTCTGAAATAAAATTTAATGGCGTGGAAGAGGAATTGCTAATGGAATTAGGAACTATTTGATCCTTAAGTAGAATCCTGTAAAGATCGTCCTAGAAAATATAAAATCATTCTTCGCGCCTCATTTTAAATATAGAATTTATACACCTCAATTTTTTCATTTGAAATATGTAATACGAGAAATATATTATAATTTTCTTCTCCCAGTAGCCTTTTAAATTACAGTTTCAAAGCAGTTACATACCCTTTTTCTACATCTGATATACTGAAGTGTAGACACACGTTTCACGTATGTACAACTTGTCTCGATCGCGTACTCATTTTAAGAGGCCACAGTTCACTTGATGCTTATGTCTCACCTATCTGTCACCTGTCTCAGTCTTCTGTCTCGGCTACTTGTTGATATCCTTGATATCCTAAGGATGCCTCAGGAGACAGACACCTTGTGGGTCTTATATTTGAATTCGTAAACAATAGCCTGTTATCGCGATTTGAAGCTTATTGGCTATCATCATACATGCTCAAGTGTACAAACTCAAACAACAAATCCAAAAACTGACAAAGACCTATCTACATATTGTCCCACTTACATGCTATCGTATTAAAGCAATAGTTATTAAATTTTTGTGATTCATAGCAGTCAAAGTAGATCATATTAAAGCAATAGTCATTAAATTTTTGTGATTCATGGCAGTCAGAGTAGATCGCACTTTTTGTATCCTGCCACTTAAATGGGAACACTGGCAGATAGGCCTTGTCAGTCTCTGGGTTTGAGTTTGTACACATACTTGTGCCTGTTTGATAATAGCTAATAAGCTTTAAATCGCGATAAAATGCTGTAAACCTAAATTGCCATTGTTGTTAATAATTTTATAAACTTTTTGATTTATTTTAGTATGTTCACAAAGTGGAGATATTGCGACGATAAAAAAGATACAATTTTTATATAAAGAAACCAATGTTCATATCCTAGAAACTCATTCATATTTTAAACACTATATCGCTGAAGCTATGTGGATTAAGGGAAATGTTCAGGAAGCTTTAAATCTATTCAAAGAAGTATACAAAGATAATGTGATACTGAGACGTAGAATAAGATTAATGTTAAAGAATTTAATAGTAGACATAATAGAAAATAGAAGTGAAGCTGTACTAGTGAATTTAGTAAGTTTTGCAGAAAATTTAGCCAATGAGTATAACGATTATTTTCCGTTAAGCTGTATATGGCAGATATGTTTCTTAAGTGAATGGTATTCAGATCAACAAACAGCTTTAAATTTATTAAATAAATATGAGGAGTTACGTAAAACTGTGATAAATAGAATAACTTACGTTGTTTCTGTATCTTTGCACAATCATAAGGTTGATGTAATTTACAGATTGTTAGAAGTATTACTCAAATATGAAATGAAGATGCAGTACAGTGGAGTATTGTTGGCACTTCTTGATTATCAAAGTAAGTATATCAGATTAATCAAAGGTGGTAAGTTAGTATACCTAGTTTATAATTTTTATTAAATTTTTTGTTTACATTAATATGCCGCCTCATTTGATTGATTTTGTGTAGTACTTCAAATAGTTGCTGAATTTATTTTGTCATATTTTTCTTTTATCATACAAGATCCCGACTGTGGTCCGCCTACCTGTTTACTGCATAAAAAATATAGTTTAGTAATGTTAATACATGAACAAACATCGCGAATGGGTTTCCAGATGAAATTAAGTTAAACAGCCAAAATCAATATTGAATGAGAGTCATCATAATCATCTTTGGCGCGGCAATCCTCTGTGGATCCTGGCCTGCTCTAAGATTTCGTCGCCATTCTGTTCGGTTTCCCAATTCGACGCCCATTATTGAGCTAATTAATAAATATTCTTAATTTTTGAAATTACAGCGTATATTCGCTTATGTTTTTAGGTATAGAAGCGATCTTAGAATTCCTGAGAGCTCTTCTAGATAACTGGGTCCTCTAAGTGTCGTTGAACAGAATCAAGCGCTTTTCTTTTTGATTCGCACTATGCAGCAGTACCATTTATCTGAAGATTATCACCAGTTATCTTCTTCTAAACCTCTTAACAGAAGAAGCAAACTATTATCTCGGCACATCCTTTCTTCGACACTACACACAAGTTAATACCTGTTGGAGGTCGACTACAACATTCCAATTTTGATTTTGGTAGAAGACACCCAATTATTCTCCCTTCAAAATGTCACCTTACAACCATTATAGCACGTTCTGAACACATTAGACTTTTACATACTAGGCTTGGGCATAATAGTTCATCATAAAGAGCGCTCAGTTTAGTTCAAATGTGAGAAGTGAACTAGGTCGCTCTTTTAGTTCACTAGTTCATTAACTCAAAGAGTTACTAAGCATGAGAGATTTATTTACACATGAGCAAATTGTAAGATTATTTTATCTTTTGTACATAAGTTTATTTTTGATAACACCCGCACGGTAAAGTAAACTAAATCATCTATATAATAAAAATAAAACGCACCATAGACTTGAAATTATAATCTCAACTAAATGATTTCTCAGCAGTTTCAGCGCTCACCCACTTCTACTAATCGTCCACATATCCACATATTAGTTCCTAGATGGTTAGTTCTTTTCATGTTCTTCCTTCCTACCTGCTACCTGCTCAGCTTCCCAGCTCACTTATTTCGTTCGTCGCGTCTGAACTCGGAAGATTTGAACTGAACCGCTCCTGACCGATGAACAAACGAAACGCGAAGTTTCGACTCCGAGAAATAAACGGCTCAGTCAGCGGAGCGAGTGAACGGTTTAAGCCAGCTCTGACGAACTAGTTCATTTAGTTCAGGGTTTGGAGCCGGATCTTTGAACTAGTTCGCTCATGAACTACACAAGCCTATTACATACCGGACCACAAGCTCTCTTATCAGCTTTGAGAGAGAGATTTTGGCCTCTAGGGGGACGCAACCTGGTAAAACATGTGTTTCGCGAATGCATACAATGTTTTAAGGTAAATCCCAGACATGAGTCACACCTCATGGGAAATCTTCCTGCTTTTCGTGTCACTCCCTCTTGGCCTTTTTCGATAACTGAATTAGACTATGCTGGTCCATTCTTACTACGTGATCGAAAGGAGAGAAATTTCAAAACAACTAAAGCTTACGTTTTACTTTTCGTGTGCTTCGCCACGAAGACTATACACTTAGAGGTAGTCAGCGAACTCATAATTGAATGCTTCCTAGCATGTCTACGTCGTTTCTCTTCGAGACGTGGTAAATGCAATGAAATACATTCTGATAACGCGACTACATTCGTAAGAGCTAACAAGGAATTAAACACATTTGTTTCTTCTCACGCGAATAGCATTTCAAATGGTTTGTCACAAAATGGTGTTCAGTGGAAGTTTATACCTCCCAAATTTCCCCATTTTGGGGGTCTTTGGAGTCTGGAATTTAATCCTCAAAATAACATTTAAAAAAGGGGAAATGGGCAACGTTTCACTAACTTTTGAAGAATTTGATATAGTATTGTGTCAGATAGAGGCCTGCCATAATTCTCGTCCTCTTTGTCCTCTTTCACATGATCCCAATGATCTATCTCCTCTTACACCCGCACACTTTCTGATTGGAGACAACCTGATGGCACCACCTGATAGCCAGCTACTTGATGTGACTGAAAACCGACTCTCAAGGAATCAACGACTGCAGTCAATGGTGCTGCATTTTTGGACTAGGTGGTCCAAGGAATATTTATCCTTGCTTACAAGCCCGTATCAAGTGGAAGACAATTTTTTCACAATTAATTAACAAATGCCATACATTGGTTGCTAAAACCTAAAACTAACATTTCATGCTATAGATTCTAGGTCAAGACTAGGCTCTAGTAATGTATAAAAGGTCAATGAAAGTGATACATTGTATTGATCTCATGAGAATAACAAAAATGACAAAATCGCGCCTCGTTTATTTGTTAAACACCCTTATAAAAACCAAGTTTATTTGCGGCAAAATACAAAAATTGAATACAAAAGCTGCACTCTTTACCTTTAAAACGCATCTTGATTTTTGTCGATAGAACACTCGGATAAAAATATATCGAATTTTTATCGTCGAGTTGATACAAATTTTATTGAACATTGATTTCGCGCGCATAATTTACATTATTTACACATTTTTGGTCAAAATTATCTTAGCTACATTTTTTATTTGAAACATTTTTTTTCTATGGCGTACAAATTTTTGGTAAATCGATTTCGATTTTTTCCGTTTTTCCCCTCTATGAGGGGACTTTTAGGGGAAAGCTTGGGGTTAAAAGTTGTAAACGTTTTTGCATCTTTTTTGACATTCTCGGCAAAATTCAGCTTGTTCCTAGGATTCTTAGAGGTTCAGTGTCATTTTCGTCTCTGACGACTGGAGTATATGTATATGTAAATCAACCAAAAAATAAGGCGATTTTTAAATTTCTTTTAGAAATATTCATATAAAAGCATAACGAATGGTGTATTCTAAAGGTCTATTTTCTAGTTTTGAGTCTTAAGAATAGAATCCATTTTTAGCTTTCCGAAATTTTTTTTCAGTAAACACTAAGTGTCCTACAGTAAAAAATACACTTTTTGCAAGATGCCACCTACAGCAGTAAATAGAAATTATTCGCCAAAATTTTTTTAATCTATTCAAACTATTTAATAATATCCAAAAGAAATTTTGTTAATAAATATAAAAAAAAACCTTAAAAGGTTGCCTTTTTTTGTTTAAACTTGAACTGTTTATTTCCAAATGCTCTTCAATAACATGAAAATTCATATTTTCAAAATCCTCTAAAATAGTCAAATTTCTGTAAGTTCAGTACTGTGTGTTGCAGAGCACGTTATATTAAAAGTATTTCGCGAGAATGGTGGTAACGTCATCATTTTTTACTATTATTATTGAGTTAATATCGAACACATAAAAAGATGATTAATTTCATCTTCGAATTTCAATTTCCACTTACTTTTATTCCCCTAGAACAATTCACAAAAAGACTATATTTTAGATTTCTATAATGACTTTAGACTTTTAACTTAAGAATTTTTTATTTTCATATTTCACGGCACACTGTGACCAACGCACTGTTTGTTACTTACTGTTAGTTGTTCAAATAACGAACCATTACATTTTAGACATCTTTTTTATTCTTTTTCTTTAGCTCATATTGTATAGTTTTAGTTATTAAAAAGTAAATAATTTGACATTTTACAAATATAGATTTTTTTCAGTACATCAAAAAGACTTACGCAGATGTGTGGAAATTATTCGCTGGTCTGTTCAAAATAACATTCAACTTCTGCCGGTTCAACATCAGAAGTTTTTAACTCTACTTGTTACCAATGAGATTGACGACACTGCTTTCAGAAAATTGAAACCAATTAGAATGCCCAAGACAATAACACATTACAAGTTTTAAAATGTTTTTAGAGGAAATGGTATACGTTTTTACAGTTGTGTTTATTAGAAAAAAAATAGCATAAACTGAATCACATGTAATTTTCACTATCAATTTGATTATATCGTCCTTGTTCATCCAAATTTTCTTTTTCTTTAATATTCGTGTCATTTTTCTTGTAATACATCCATCTAAAACAAATAAAATCTTTTATATAGTGCGCTTTTTATATTTTATTTTAATACGTTTATATTAATAACCACCTAGTTTTATTAGAAGAAACACATGTGCCGTGAAGAATTTCCACGGATGTTCAGGGAGGCTATCGAAATCCAAAAACAGTGTTCTTCTGGTGCCGTTCGCTATACGACGTGTAGGCATTGATGCTGGTTGGATAATGCGCAGGGATCCTTCTACTCTCCTTATTAATGTATACTAACATCAGGTATGATAGACCAGTTTCTTATGTCTCTGAACAATGAGTTTCGTTTTGCGGCCTTGATGACATACAAGTGATTATACATATATGCCATCCCTTATAATATTGACTAAGGATGAGACTTTTCGGTTTTTAATTATGGTTAGTAGCTCTCTTTGGGTATTAACTCCTCTTAGTACCTTTTCATTTGTAATATGGTTAAAAAATATCTGATCGTATAAAGATGGTCTGAATTTAAACTGATCTAAATCTCGGCATACGACATATGATCTCTTACCCGATGCACCAACAATGGCAATACTGATTCAGAACAACTGACAAAACACAAAGGCAATATATAGAGCAGATATTTGAGAAAGGCTGAAGTTAAGGAGAGTAGAATATCAGAAAGGAATAATTTTCTATAAAACCAGAAAAAGTTCACTATAAGTTAATAAAACCATAAACAGTATTCCTTTGTCCTTAAAGTTGGGATCATTGCCGCTACGGGAAAATATAAGTGAACATGATGCTGATAGAAAAGTCATTTAGGCACTAAATGCCAGAAAATCTTTTCAGGCCATATTACTGAAAGACCTCCATTATAATAAAACTGTACTGAATGATGGTGTCTTCTGAGTAAAATATTTTGGAAGCAAAAAGAAACTCCTCTTAGATTTCCGCGCTAGTACTATCGGTTAAAGAAACTGAAATTGAAGTAAGTGTAATATAAAGTGTCCCAACATTTACGAGAACTTTGAATATAATAGAAAACATTGTTTTTTTTCTTTAAATTGTATTTTTTTATTGAATCATAAAGTACATACGACAGTGTTATGTATGGAACAAGCACATCAGGCAAATGGCCTCCACGGCTTTGCTGGTACATACGCACTCTTTTGTCGAATATTTCCATGATTATTTGGCATAAATGTGACCGAATTTCGTTGTTGCAGCGTTGAATTTACTCCTTCAATGCATGAGTGGTTGTAGGCTTATTGGCATATACCTTTGACTTTAAATAACTCCACAAAAATAAATCTAATGTAGTTAAGTCACACGATCTAGGAGGCCAATTCCGATCACCCAAACGAGAGATTATACGTCCAGGAAATATCTCTTGAAGTAATTCAATTGTTTCACGGCTGTACGGCAAGTGGCACCGTCTTCTTGAAACCACATATCGTTCACATCAATGTCTAATTTAAGAATCATGAACTCTCTTATAATGTTGCGATATCGAGCCCCATTGACACGTTGTGGTGCATTTTTTTTGACAGTTTCATCTGGGTTCTCAGAACCCCAAATGGGGCAATTTTGACGATTAACAAAGCCAGCAAGGTGAAGATGTGCTTCATCGCTTAGCATGATTTTGCTCAAAAAATCAGCATCTACTTATTGATATTCAATAATCCATTCAACGAACTCTCTCAGCTGTGCATGGTCATAAGGCTTCAGTTCTTGTGTCAATTGAACTTTGTATGCATGGAGATGCAGATCTTTAGTGAGTATACGCTGTAGAGAGCTTCTTGAAATTTTTATTCTTTTCCACGACGCCGAATTGATATTCCTGGACCTTCACCAACACTCACTTACTGCTTCGATATTGACATTTGAGCTGCTTGTTTTTGAACGACCAGTTAGCGTTACCAATTGATCAAGTTAACGAAATTAAATTAATATTCCGACCTTATTTTCTTTTCTACGAAATTTTAGAACTGTGACCGCCAAACTTTCATTGTTTTTAAAATATTGTTCAACAATGAAAACTCGTTGTTCTCTCTCTCGTGTAACGCTTCATTTTTACTAACCCTAAACTGTCAGCTGTCAAACTGTTTTTTTTTTGTTGTTGTTAACACTGTACTGAACAAATACCGGCAAATTCAAATCTTTCGTGAATTTTGGGTCACCTTATAGTAGGAGGAGATTTCAATGTATATGTGAGAATTCCAAAACTTGTGTACAAAATCTCGTACTATTTAATAACTGGTAAAGTCACAACAGATAACACTATTTGCTAAAATTAAATATAAGAATATTATATACATATGCGCACATATATACACTTATGTAAACAGTGTTTATGGCAGGAATGTAAGGACTGAAACCTAGTAGTGAGATTACAAGCCAATAAGATAGGTAGAGTACGAATCCAGGGGGTAACTGTATGTGCCTTTTAAAACAAATAACGGGCTACACAAGGGAGACCTTGTCTCCTATATACTGTTCAATCTGGCTCTGAAAAAAGTAATACGTATGTCACAAATCAGTGCAAATCCTTGCCTATGCTGATGATATCAATATTGCTCTGAGAATGGAAAACGCTGTACGAGAGGCGTATGTGGCACTAAAAGAAACAGCTACAAAAATGGATTTAATAATAAACACCAATTAAATGAAGTATATAAAAATAAGCAAGCAACCAAAAATCCTACGACCACTTGTTATAGAAAAGGACGTAATCGAAACAGTGAACGAATTTTTAGACCTTGGACCGCTCATTAATACTGAAAATAATACGACCGGACCGCAGAGATAAACCGCAGAATTTGCACGGCCAACAGATGCTATTTTGGGCTCAATCTCCTTAAATCCTCAATTATATCGAGAAATACAAAAGTAAAATGTTACAAAACTAATAACACGCCCTGTCCTAACATATGGTTCAGAGACCTGGACTCTAAAAAAACGTAATGAAAACATGTTAGGATATTTTGAAAGAAAAGTACTAAAAGACGATACAACTTTGAACTTTATAGAATATACCAGGAACTATATTTCGTAAAACATATTACTTCTGAGGTGGATAGAGTACTATGTAGTGCGGATGGAACAAAATGATTCAGTTAGAAAAGCGCTCCTTGATAGACCCATTGGTCAGAGAAGAAGAGGAAGACCCAGAACAAGGTTCTTTGATAACATTGATAACATGGTTCCAGTAATGAGAAATATGAGAATACTTGCGTACCGAAGGAAGGCGATGTATAGGGACGACTGGAGAGAAATTCTTGAGAAGGCTAGGACTCACGCATCGTTGTAAAGCCAGAATGATGATGATGCAGATACAGTACACAGAATGAGACATGGCCAGTGGGAGATCATCAAGCTGCGCAAATGAAGGGTCTGTATAAGATGGAGAAAGTATTTGAAAAAAAAATATAACCCTTTTATGCGAGTGGTGCTTTGGATCAAACATCCAATCTCATTATTATTAAATATTTACATTCATTGAATCAGTTATAGATACCAAAACAAGATAATCTCTTTTAGGAAATATATTTATAATGTGATTTAAAACTAATATTTTTCTCTAATTACAGTTTATGTTTTAACAGTTAGATTTATAATTTTTTTTATATAAAAGTAACTAATAATTTCGAAAGTTTCAATTACGAAAAAAAAAAAACAAAATTTATAAAGGTTTAAATAAATCACTAATCTAATTAGTAAATACGATTTTAAATTTATATATACAAAATTTTTAAATTCAATTTCTCTATCATCGATTTCGTCTTCACTTTCGGATTCAGAATCATTACCTAAATTAATTATAACATTATCTGTTATTGGTATAAGTTTGTGCTTCCAGAAACTTATTTTACCATTTACTGCGTGAAAACGTTTTTTCCATTCTTCATCCCCTTCTTCTTTAGATGCCGTGTCCGTATTCAGACGTTGGCCGCCATATTTATAATTTCCTGAAACCGTTCTCTATCGGCACTCTTCAGCACCAAAGTCATCAAAAAAGTTATCACGCAACTGTCGAACATTTCTAATATGAAAGAGGTATTTTTTATGCCACCTATTATTTGAGAGATGTCCATATTTACTTAATTGGATTTAAGCCTGGGTAGTAAGGAGGCAATAGCAAAATCTCACGGCCATGCTGGCTTTCATCTATTTCGACGATTTTAAATATTGGCTTATTGAGTTTAACTGTTTCGTGTGAGACTGCTTTGAATATATTAATAACTTAGTATTAAAAAAGAGTTAATAATTTAAGAGCGTGGAAGAAAAGTCGTGAGAATCGCTCGAGATAAATTACTAGTAGGACGAGTAGGACTTCGGGTTGTCCTCGAAAGAGAGAAAAGAAGAAGAAAAAAAAAAGAATATAAACAAACTTTAATTTGATACTTAGAAACGTTTGAATTTTTATGTCTGACTTCTGAGTTTGTTATACTATTTCAATTTTACTTACCAATTTTACAGAAATTTTATACTTACATGATAAGACAGGAACAAATACTATAAATGTAAACACTGAAAAATATTGTCGTTCCTGGGAAAACTTGAATTGTATTTACATATATTACATTATATAAAGGAACAGCCACGGCTGGAGCTATTGCTTCAGTGATACTCAAAAGCGATTGAGTCTTTCCAATATCCTCTGGTGATACTATTTTTGTAGCGTAAGCTCTCTTTGCTGTCCTATATAGTTTGGTTACTATTCCAGTAACATTGCCTAAAATTTAATCGGATACAATTTTCTTTTATACCTATTATATGAACAAATAGTTATAGCGAGAGATGAAGTTGTCGAGGCGATATATAGAACGAAGAACGGTAACGCAGCAGGACCAGATGGAATACCTGTGGAGGTTTGGAAGGGAAGAGAAAGGGGTTGATATTTTGTAGCAAATGATAAGTCGGATATATGCGCGAGTAAATATTTAACGTTTATTTTAAAAATCCCGTTGTAATCAGCGTATCGTCTCTCCGGCTAAGGGCTTGTGTGATAGCAATTAATTTTAATGACTTTCGTCTGAGAATGTGGGGTATCGAATATATATATATATATATATATATATATATATATATATGTATATATATATATATATATATATATATATATATATATGTATATATATATATACTTATATATATATATATATATATATATATATATATATTATATATATATATATATATATACTTATATATATATATATATATATATATATATATATATATAATATATATATATATATATATATATATGAATATATTCAATAGTTAGGGTTAGTTAGTCGAATTTGTACCACCGGCCGAAGTAAACTGAATTAAATATAACTTTTAAAGTCACATTTGTGTATTTTAATACGAAAGTAATTTTTTTGTAATAGAAATTTAATTTTGTATTTTTTTGAACCAGGAGTCTCTTGCGAAAATTAATCGTACTTAGGATATTCCAAACGTAATATTTGGCGATCGTGACAGGACTTATATACGGGTGTGCTTAAAAGTTAGTTATTTTCGCTTATATTAGTGCAAACTCTTTTTCCGGTGAATAATTTTGTTTTTGTCGTGAGGCTCAGCCACACGACGCTTTTTTTTAAACGAAAAATGGAATCAGATAAAAAACGCAGAACGGTTCTTCGTAGTGCATTTATGAAAGTTGCTACGGTTTGGACAGTTTGTTAGCTGAACCGGTGGACATTCGACCCTGGCAGAAAATACAGTCTATAAATACGGTAAGTGCGACCAAATTTGAAACTTCACCTTCTTCAATCTCGATAATTCAATCGTAGAAATTTAATGGAGACTTGAAAGATTGGCTTCCTTTTTGGTCACAGTTCAAAGTAGTGCATGACGATACATCAATTGATTTGACTGATAAGATAGCTTATTTGAGACAACCCACTGTAGAGTCTAGTAAGGCCAGACGATTAGTAGAGAGTTTTCCTGCAGTAGCCGACAATTACTCAAAAATTATTCAGTTTGCAGTAGTTTGCAGAGGTCTCCAGAAAGTTTATTAGAGAGCTCTTAAAGTTAATTTTGAGTCGAGTTTCTAGTAGTTTTTGTAATATTTCTGCTCTTTATGATATGATTGAAAGCCAACTTCGTTCACTTGAGATCTTAGGCATAACTGCTGATAAGTATGCGGCGATATTGTATCCTCTTATTGAGTCATGTTTGCTAGAAGATATGATTCGACTATGGCATAGATCTTCGCAGTTTTTAAGGCCTTATGTTTCCGTGTCCATGGAAAATAACACAGAAACTGCAGAAGTTGCAACTTTAGAAACAAGGTTTTGGTTTACCGACTGAAAATAAATATGAATTTAATAACCTCGTTGCCAAGAAAAATGTAAAATTACCTAAGCAAAGAACTGATCAGCCCATAGCGACCGCTGCTGGGTTAGTAAATTATGAGGTTTACAGGTGTGTATTTTGTGAAGGGCAGCATGATAGTACAAATTGTTTTAAAGCACAAAAATTTACAATGGAGCAGAAACGTCGAACATTGTCAGAAACGAAAGCTTGTTTTCGGTGTCTGAAAGTAGGACATTCTTCTAAAAAGTGTAGAGGACGTTTGAATTGTATATTATGTTGTAAATCACATGCTGTTTTGATGTGCCCTAATTTGCCTGTTAATAAAATTGATACATCGACCTCAAGTACTACCCGTTTGGAAGAAAATATAACTGAAGATCAGACGCTTGCTAGTTTGAATAATACACGGGTTTTTTTACAAACTATGCGAATAAACATAAGAAGTGCACATGGTACTAAACAAGTAACGGCACTTATTGACACTGGATCGCAGAGGACATATATTTTACAAAGTACCGCACAAGAAATTGGTTTTTCTGCTAAGGGAAAGGAAAATATTGTACATTTGTATTATTTGGCGGTAGAAGCACTTCTGAACAACGACATAAATTGTACGAGGTAACTGCGTGTGAAGGAACCTACGCTTATTTATTTGATGCCTTAGATCAACCAACAATTTGTGCAGATGTCTCTTCTATTTATGACGGCCCTTGTATTGAGGATTTTTTTGTAATAGAAATTTAATTTTGTATTTTTTCGAACCAGTAGTCTCTTGCGAAAATTAATCGTAGGACATTCCAAACGTAATAATATATGATGAAGAAAGTATGCAAAATACATAGAGAGAGAGAGAGAGAGAGAGAGAGAGAGAGAGAGAGAGAGTGATGGTCCTCCTCAATCTTTTCTCCTTCGTAAGGATGTAGTTGCGTCATGTAATTTGTTTGACTATTTCTATCCCATTATCTCCCTCCTGAGCGTGTTGTGTTGCAGAGGAGAATGAGTAACCAGTTATCTCCTTTATTTGGTCCGACCATCGTACTGGAGATCTTTCTCTGGATCTTTTACCCGCTACGTTACCTTCAACTATCATTAGCTCCATGCCTTCTTTACTTCTAGTTATATGCCCAAAATATCTCAGTATATTTTGGTTGATAGTTATGATGCTGGATAGTGTGATGGTATCATTGTATAAAAATAAAGAGGACATTCAGAACCGTAAGAACTATAGAGAGATAAAGTTAATGTCGCACAATGAAAATTTGGGAGAGAACTGTAGAGCAACGGTTAAGGAGAGAGACATCGACAGAAGAAGAACAGTTTGGGTTTATGCCAGGAAGGAGGGTAACGAATGCCTTGTTTGCGTTGAGATAGAGAAATACAGCGAGAAGAAAAGAGAGCTCGTAAAGGATATGTATGAGAGAGCGTACACCAAAGTAAGGACTGCTGTAGGATTGACCGAAAGTTTTTCAGTGACGGTTGGTTTGCATCAAGGCTCTTCACCGAGTCCTTACCTGTTTAATCTTGTTAGGGATGTACTGACATAGGAAGTAAGGGAGAAGGATCCTTGGTTAATGCTCTTTGCTGATGATATTGTGTTAGTAGAGGAGAACAAAGAAATGTTGGAGTAGAAGTTGGAGTCTCTGTGAAGGGATATTGAAGAGGGAGGACTTAAGGTTAGCAAGTTGAAAACAGAGTATATGTGGTTGGGAGGAAGAAGTTGGGGAAGTAGAATTGCTTGGAGCAAAGCTAGGACGAGTAGGATAATTTAAATAATTTGCCTCCTATATAATGGAAATTGTGACACTAGATCGAGAAATTACCTACAGGATGCAGATGGAAAGATATACAAGAGTGTGATGAGACCTGCTTTGGTGTACGGCGGTGAAGTGTGGCCTGTAAAGAAGATCCAGGAAAAGAAGATGGAGGTAGCTGAAATGAAAATGTTACGGTGGATGTTGGGTAAGACGAGAAGGGACAAGATCAGAAACAACTTCACTCTGAGAGCTGGGAAAAAGTCGGAGTGACTACTACTCAAAAAAGATTTAAGAACAAAGACTGTCGAAGCTTTCTTTTTCAAAACCACATCTTAAATGTGTTCGTAGAATACTGATTTTAGTATTTTTATTATATTCGCTTTTTCCATTTTTTTTGTGGGGTTTAAATATTTTACATGGTGATTTATTCATCTGAATATGTTGTAGAATCACATATTTACATTTCCCTTTTTTATTGAAAGTACTGTTTAGGTATACAAAGTTATCAACTACTTTATACTTTATCTGCAATATTTTGAATGCTCATCTTATTGTTGTTGTTGGCTGGTTATCCATAATAATAAGATACCTTTTTCTTGTAGTTATATATTGATTCTTAATCCATATATCTACTCATTGACTCTGATGATAGATTTGTTAAGTGATAACATACGTTCTTCTCCACTTTAGACGGTAAATAGTGTGTCATAGGCAAATCCTAAATTAGATACTTTAACTCCATCTATTGAAATGTTTCTTCTAGCTCATCTAAAATCAGTCCCATTATGTATTCGCTCGTAGATTAAAATTAATATAATTGCCCCTCTTTCTTGTAGCTTTTCTGACTTTACCGCTCGATGAACACATCATTTCTAATCTTACAATTACTTCGATTTGCTATTTATTAGATATTTCGGGATACCCTGCTAAATTAGTCAGAGTAGATACCATTGGACATTAAAGTTGCCTAATATATGGAACCAATATACATGGAGATGTTGTATACTCGCGATTTTTCAACATTTATAGATTAAAACACTCGCTTCTCTTTACTTCTATTATGTCTTCTTCTTGTAGTTCCATCTCCTATCGGAGGCTGACTATCATTACAGCTATCCGTACCTTATTGGCGGCTGCTCTGAAAAGATCTACTAAGCTGCAACTATACCACTCTCTTAGGTTTCTTAGCCAAGAAATTCTTCGTCTTCCTATGGATCTTTTACTCTTGATTTTACCTTGTATTATAAGCCTTAATATCTCATATTTCGCACCTCTGATAATGTGATCTAAATATTCCAGCTTTATTGTTTTGATGTGCTTTATGACCTCGCAATCCTTTTGTCTTCTTCGTCTAGTTCCATGACCGTTATCGATCGTTGGATATCATGTTGGCTACCATATTCGCTATCGTGACTTTATTGACAGCAGCTTTAAATAACGATGTAGTTGATTTTCCATACCATTGCCTTAGATTTTTCAGCCATGATGTTCTTCGTCTACCAGGACCACGATTACCTTGGATCTTTCCCTGAATGATCAGATGTAAAAGATCATATTTTTCAGGGTGTCTCATAATGTGACCGAAGTATTCCAGCTTGCATTTCTTTATTATCTTGACCAGTTGTGTTGTTTGGCTCAGCCGTCTAAGGACCTT